TGTAGGAATTACAACAATTTGCATATGTGCCTCCCACTTGTTAAGGGACCAAAAGTAATGGGACAATTGGCTTCTCAGCTGTTCCATGGCCAGGTGTGTGTTATTCCCTCATTTATCCCAATTACATGAGCAGATAAAAGGTCCAGAGTTCATTTCAAGTGTGCTGTTTTGCATTTGGAATCTGTTGCTGTCAATTCTCAAGATGAGATCCAAAGAGCTGTCACTATCAGTGAAGCCATCATTAGGCTGAAAAAAACAAAACAAACCCATCAGAGAGATAGCAAAAACATTAGGCGTGGCCAAAACAACTGTTTGGAACATTCTTAAAAAGAAGGAACGCACCGGTGAGCTCAGCAACACCAAAAGACCCGGAAGACCCAGGGGAAAACAAACTGTGGTGGATGAGCGAAGAATTCTTTCCCTGGTGAAGAAAACACCCTTCACAACAGTTGGCCAGATCAAGAACACTCTCCAGGAGGTAGGTGTATGTGTGTCAAAGTCACCAATCAAGAGAAGACTTCACCAGAGTGAATACAGAGGGTTCACCACAAGATGGAAACCATTGGTGAGCCTCAAACACAGGAAGGCCAGATTAGAGTTTGCCAAACGACATGTAAAAAAGCCTTCACAGTTCTGGAACAACATCCTATGGACAGATGAGACCGACATCAACTTGTACCAGAGTGATGGGAAGAGAAGAGGATGGAGAAGGAACTGCTCATGGTCCTCAGCATACCACCTCATCAGTGATCATGGTGGTGGTAGTGTCATGGCGTGGGCATGTATGGCTGCCAATGGAACTGCTTCTCTTGTATTTATTGATGATGTGACGGCTGACAGAAGCAGCCGGATGAATTGTGAAGTGTTTCGGGAATATTATCGGCTCATATTCAGCCAAATGCTTCACAACTCATTGGACGCTTCACAGTGCAGATGGACAATGACCCAAAGCAGACTGCAAAAGCCACCAAAGAAGTGGAATGTTCTGCAATGGCCAATCACCTGACCTGAATCCGATTGAGCATTTCACTTGCTGAAGACAAAACTGAAGGGAAAATGCCCCAAGAACAAGCAGGAACTGAAGACAGTTGCAGTAAAGGCCTGGCAGAGCCTCACCAGGGATGACACCCAGCGTCTGGTGATGTCTATGCGTTCCACACTTCAGGCTGTCATTGACTGCAAAGGATTTGTAACCAAGTATTAAAAAGTGAAAGTTTGATTTATGATTATTATTCTGTCCCATTACTTTTGGCCCCTTAACAAGTGGGAGACACATATGCAAACTGTTGTCATTCCTACACCGTTCACCTGATTTGGATGTAAATACCCTCAAATTAAAGCTGACAGTCTGCAGTTAAAGCACATCTTGTTTGTTTCATTTCAAATCCATTGTGGTGTATAGAGCCAAAAATGTTAGAATTGTGTCCATGTCCCAATATTTATGGACCTGACTGTATGTGGGGTGGTGCCTCTCCTGGTTGGTCCTTGGGTGGACTGTCTGATTCCTGAATTCTGCCTGCACTGACCTGTGCTGCTCTCTCTCTGCAGTGTCCCCACGTTCACGGTGGTCCCGGAGGTGCCGCAGTCCCCACTCACGGTGGTGGACGAGGATGAGGAGCCGATGGAAGGAGTCCCCATTGAGCAGTACCGGGCCTGGCTGGGTGAGCTCACTCATCATGGTTGTGCGGGGGATGGAAGTTCTTGTGGAGCTTCATATTGCCTTTGTGGGTGGACCCAACGTGTGATAAGCACACCTACAGCTCCGCCCCCTTTTCTGCCTTCATACAAGGTGGTCCCGGCTGGCCCCATTTATTTCCATTGCAGGGAATGTAGCAGAACTAAAAGGGAGGGAATCTGTCCATAGATCTGCCATCGGGGGGGTCACAATCTGTATGGGGGGGGGGCACATGACCCTGTACCATTACAGACTGTATATTACCGAGCACCACCACTGGGGGGGGGGGCACATTACCGAGCACCACCACTGTATGGGGGGGGGGGGGGCACATTACCGAGCACCACCACTGTATGGGGGGGGGGGGGGCACATTACCGAGCACCACCACTGTATGGGGGGGGGGGGGCACATTACCGAGCACCGCCACTGTATGGGGGGGGGGGGGCACATTACCGAGCCACTGTATGGGGGGGGGGGGCCACATTACAGGCGGTATGGGGGGGGCACATTACCGAGCACCGCCACTGTATGGGGGGGGGGGGGCACATTACAGAGCGCCACCACTGTATGGGGGGGGCACATTACCGAGCACCGCCACTGTATGGGGGGGGGGGGGGCACATTACCGAGCACCGCCACTGTATGGGGGGGGCACATTACCGAGCACCGCCACCACATTGTATGTATGGGGGGGGGCACATTACCGAGCACCTCCCTGTATGGGGGGGGCACATTACCGAACGCCCCCACTGTATGGGGGGGGCACATTACCGAGCGCCTCCACTCTGTGGGGGGAGGGGGGGCACATTACCGAGCGCCGCCACTGTATGGGGGGGGGGGGGGGGGCACATTACCGAACGCCCCCACTGTATGGGGGGGGGGGCACATTACCGAACGCCCCCACTGTATGGGGGGGGCACATTACCAAGAACGCCCCCACTGTATGGGGGGGCACATTACGCCCCCCTGTATGGGGGGGCACATTACGAACCCCCCACTGTATGGGGGGGGCACACATTACCGAGCACCTCCACTCTATGGGGGAGGGGGGGCACATTACCGAGTGCCGCCGCCACTGTATGGGGGGGCTAGGTTCCAGAGCACATGGTGGCTCCTGGCGAGTTCGCTTGCTGAAGGTGAGCCAGCCCGCTCCTGACAGTCGCCATAAATAATTCTATATCTGAATGTTCCCCACAGATGAGGACAGTAACCTGGACCCTCTGCCCTCCCCGGTGGGGCCCCCAGAGTCGGAGCAGGATGAGGAGAACCGCTGGTTGGATGCCCTGGAGAGAGGAGAGTTGGATGTAAATGGAGACCTGAAACGGGAGATCGATGAGACGTTGCTGACCGCTCGTCAGGTGAGGGGGTGGACCCATCACATTGTATTGTCCCCTCTGGGCCCCTGAGGGGTGGACTCATCACATCATAATGGTCCCCTGAGGGGTGGACCCATCACATCATAATGGTCCCCCTGAGAGGTGGACTCATCACATCATAATGGTCCCCTGAGAGGTGGACTCATCACATCATAATGGTCCCTTGAGGGGTGGACTCATCACATTGTATTGTCCTTTCTGGGCCCCTGAGGGGTGGACCCATCACATCATAACTTCCCCCTCTGGGCTGGACCTATTACATCTTGGTGGACCGACATAATGGTCCCCTGAAGGGTGGACCCACCACATCATAATGGTCCCCTGGGGGGTGGACCCATCACATTGTATTGTCCCCTCTCGGCCCCTGAGGGGTGGACCCATCACATCATAATGGGCCCCTGAGGGGTGGACCCATCACATCATAATGGGCCCCTGAGGGGTGGACCCATCACATCATAATGGGCCCCTGAGGGGTGGACCCATCACATCATAATGGGCCCCTGAGGGGTGGACCCATCACATCATAATGGGCCCCTGAGGGGTGGACCCATCACATCATAATGGGCCCCTGAGGGGTGGACCCATCACATCATAATGGGCCCCTGAGGGGTGGACCCATCACATCATAATGGGCCCCTGAGGGGTGGACCCATCACATTGTATTGTCCCCTCTGGGCCCCTGAGGGGTGGACCCATCACATTGTATTGTCCCCTCTGGGCCCCTGAGGGGTGGACCCATCACATTGTATTGTCCCCTCTGGGCCCCTGAAGGGTGGGATTTTATCCCAGTTCCCCTGTAGGCCCCTCCAGCTCTGATCTGCCCTCTGCAGGCCCCGGGTTGGCCGGATTTATCACACGGCTCTCCTAGTTCTCCAGTCTGTGAGGTTGATGGTTCTGGGTGCAGTCAGTCATATAACGTGTGTTTTTTTTTCTCTCTGCAGAAAGCCCTCCTACAGAAGCAGCAGGCCCCACCCATACCTCTGTACCCGCCCCCTGTATACGCCCGGCCCCCGCCTGAACTGTCCCAGGAGATGATAGTGAAGAGGGAGGAGAAGGCCAGGAAAAGACGGCTGCAGGCCGCCAAGAAGGCCGAGGAGAGCAAGAAGCAGACCATCGAAAGGCTGACCAAAACCTCCAAATCTCGGGGGTGCCAAACCCAGCCAAGGGAGGCGGGGACGCCAACCGCCCTGCCCTGCCCCACCGTCCGCTACCAGCACAGCGCACACGGCATCACCCTCTCCTATCCAGTGGGCGTGCCTTACCCTACCCCCACAGAGCCACGCCCCGCTCTGCCGGCACCACAGCTGTGCGGTGTCCCCGGATGCACCAACCTAAAACGCTACTCCTGTTCCAAGACTCGGGTCCCACTGTGCAGTCTAGAGTGCTACCGCAAGAACCTGCAGAGTGCTGGGGGGGGGGGGCGGCACTGGACATCATGGGACTGAGAGGCCCAGGGACTGGAGAGGGGGGTGGACTGTTCCAGAGATGGACCTCCGAGGGCGTGGACTGTTCCAGAGACGGACCTCCGAGGGCGTGGACTGTTCCAGAGACGGACCTCCGAGGGCGTGGACTGTTCCAGAGACGGACCTCGGGGCGTGGACTGTTCCAGAGACGGACCTCCGAGGGCGTGGACTGTTCCAGAGACGGACCTCCGAGGGCGTGGACTGTTCCAGAGACGGACCTCCGAGGGCGTGGCGTGGACTGTTCCAGAGACGGACCTCCGAGGGCGTGGACTGTTCCAGAGACGGACCTCCGAGGGCGTGGACTGTTCCAGAGACGGACCTCCGAGGGGCGTTGGACTGTTCCAGAGACGGACCTCCCGAGGCCCCGGGGGCGTGGACTGACTGTTCCAGAGAGGGGATTGGACTGTTCCAGAGACGGACCTCCGAGGCCAGGGGGTGGACCGGGGAGGGGGGGTGGACTGTTCCAGAGATGGACTTGGACTGTTCCAGAGATGGACTTGGACTGTTCCAGAGATGGACTTGGACTGTTCCAGAGATGGACTTGGACTGTTCCAGAGATGGACTTGGACTGTTCCAGAGATGGACTTGGACTGTTCCAGAGATGGACTTGGACTGTTCCAGAGATGGACTTGGACTGTTCCAGAGATGGACTTGGACTGTTCCAGAGATGGACTTGGACTGTTCCAGAGATGGACTTGGACTGTTCCAGAGATGGACTTGGACTGTTCCAGAGATGGACTTGGACTGTTCCAGAGATGGACTTGGACTGTTCCAGAGATGGACTTGGACTGTTCCAGAGATGGACTTGGACTGTTCTGTAGTGTCTGGATTGACATCCAGCATATTCTGGCGGTCTCTGGAATGTGATTGGAGCACACAGGTCACATGACAGCGGTGGCTCCCTCCTGGTACTCAGCGTGGGACACAGAGCTTTAATTTTGTAGAACTCTGTAATGTGTTATGAATAAAAATTAAAGTATCTTTCCGGAGAGAGGAATTGTGTGATTGAATATGCAGTGCCCTGCACTACCCTGATCTCTGGTGCTGTCACCCCCAATACAGCCCCTCCTCTTCCCAGGTACACAATGTCTGGTGTGACACAACTCACTTCCTTTGATCTCTGGGTGTCATGGCCCCGCCCCCTAAGCTGCTGTCATCACACAGCACTGGGCTCATAGAACACTGAAAACAACGCCAACTTCCCTATAACAACCAATGATGTGTGACACCAGGCCGAGGATTGAGAACGTGTGACTCCAGCCTAAAGACCCGTCACCCAAAAAAAACCGGACCGATCCCGTACACCTCCTCCGGGGTCCTTCCGATACCGGGCCGATCCCGTGCGCCTCCACCGGGGGCCAGGACCGATCCCGTACGCCTCCACCGGGGGCCAGGACCGATCCCGTACGCCTCCACCGGGGGCCAGGACCGATCCCGTGCGCCTCCACGGGGTCCTTCCGATACCGGGCCGATCCCGTACGCCTCCACCGGGGGCCAGGACCGATCCCGTACGCCTCCACCGGGGGGCCAGGACCGATCCCGTACGCCTCCACCGGGGTCCTTCCAGGACCGATCCCGTACGCCTCCACCGGGGGGATACCAGGACCGATCCCGTACGCCTCCACCGGGGGCCAGGACCGATCCCGTACGCCTCCACCGGGGGCCAGGACCGATCCCGTACGCCTCCACCGGGGGATACCGGGACCGATCCCGTACGCCTCCACCAGGGTCCTTCCGATACCCGATACCGGGCCGATCCCGTGCGCCTCCACCGGGGTCCTTCCGATAACGGGCCGATCCCGTGCGCCTCCACCGGGGTCCTTCCGATCCCGTGCGCCTCCACCGGGGTCCTTCCGATACCGGGCCGATCCCGTGCGCCTCCACCGGGGTCCTTCCGATACCGGGCCGATCCCGTGCGCCTCCACCGGGGTCCTTCCGATACCGGGCCGATCCCGTGCGCCTCCACCGGGGGTCCTTCCGATACCGGCCGATCCCGTGCGCCTCCACCGGGGTCCTTCCGATACCGGGCCGATCCCGTGCGCCTCCACCGGGGTCCTTCCGATACCGGGCCGATCCCGTGCGCCTCCACCGGGGTCCTTCCGATACCGGACCGATCCCGTACGCCTCCACCGGGGGCCAGGACCGATCCCGGGCGCCTCCACCGGGGTCCTTCCGCCTCCGATCCCGGGGTCCTCCACCGATACCGGACCGATCCCGTACGCCTCCACCGGGGGCCAGGACCGATCCCGTACGCCTCCACCGGGGTCCTTCCGATACCGCGCCGATCCCGTGCGCCTCCACCCGGGGTCCTTCCGATACCGGGCCGATCCCGTGCGCCTCCACCGGGGGTCCTTCCGATACCGGGATCCCCGATCCCGCGCGCCTCCACCGGGGTCCTTCCGATACCGGGCCGATCCCGCGCGCCTCCACCGGGGTCCTTCCGATACCGGGCCGATCCCCGTGCCGCCTCCCGGGGTCCGATTCCGATACCAGGGCCGATCCCGTACGCCTCCACCGGGGTCCAGGACTGATACCGGGCAGATCCCGTGCGCCTCCACCGGGGTCCTTCCGATACCGGGCCGATCCCGTGCGCCTCCACCGGGGTCCTTCCGATACCGGGCCGATCCCGTGCGCCTCCACCGGGGTCCTTCCGATACCGGACCGATCCCGTACGCCTCCACCGGGGGCCAGGACCGATCCCGTACGCCTCCACCGGGGTCCTTCCGATACCGGGCCGATCCCGTGCGCCTCCACCGGGGTCCTTCCGATACCGGGCCGATCCCGTGCGCCTCCACCGGGGTCCTTCCGATACCAGGACCGATCCCGTGCGCCTCCACCGGGGGCCAGGACCGATCCCGTACGCCTCCACCGGGGGCCAGGACCGATCCCGTACGCCTCCACCGGGGGCCAGGACCGATCCCGTACGCCTCCACCCGGGGCCGGGACCGATCCCGTGCGCCTCCACCGGGGTCCTTCCGATACCGGGCCGATCCCGTGCGCCTCCACCGGGGTCCTTCCGATACCGGGCCGATCCCGTGCGCCTCCACCGGGGTCCTTCCGATACCGGGCCGATCCCGTACGCCTCCACCGGGGTCCCTTCCGATACCGGGGGCCACCGATCCCGTACGCCTCCACCGGGTCCTTCCGATACCAGGACCGATCCCGTACGCGCCTCCACCGGGGGATACCAGGACCGATCCCGTACGCCTCCACCGGGGGCCAGGACCGATCCCGTACGCCTCCACCGGGGGCCAGGACCGATCCCGTACGCCTCCACCGGGTTCCGATCCCGTGCGCCTCCACCGGGGGTCCTTCCGATACCGGGGCCGATCCCGTGCGCCTCCACCGGGGTCCTTCCGATACCAGGACCGATCCCGTGCGCCTCCACCGGGGTCCTTCCGATACCGGGCCGATCCCGTGCGCCTCCACTGGGTCCTTCCGATACCGGGACCGATCCCGTACGCCTCCACCGGGGTCCAGGACCGGATCCCGTACGCCTCCACCGGGGGCCAGGACCGATCCCGTACGCCTCCACCGGGGGCCTTCCGATACAGGAATGATCCCGTACATATCGACTAGGATCCTCCTAATCCAATATCCCGTACACCTCCACTGGGGCTTCTTCCAATACAGGACCGATCCCATACACCTCCACCGGGGTCCTTGTAATCCAGGACCGATCCCATACACCTCCACCGGGGTCCAGGACTGATCCCATACACCTCCACTGGGGTCCTTCTAATCCAGGACTGATCCCATACACCTCCACTAGGGTCCTTCTAATCCAGGACTGATCCCATACACCTCCACCGGGGTCCAGGACTGATCCCATACACCTCCACTGGGGTCCTTCTAATCCAGGACTGATCCCTTACACCTCCACGGGGTCCAGGACTGATCCCATACACCTCCACTAGGGTCCTTCTAATCCAGGACTGATCCCATACACCTCCACTGGGGTCCTCCTAATCCAGGACTGATGTTACAGTATCTTTGTTTAATTGGGACTGTGTCCCTGATGTGTATAGGACAATCCAGAGTGGTAGTCTCCAGGCCCAGTCACAAACACCAGGTAACGTTCCTCCAGCAGGTGAGCCGTGGTTGTTCAGGTGAGGACTTGCGTACGGACTGAGCTGTTCTAACAGCTGCTACTGAGAGTCCTGTAGAGCGGCCTTGGTAGGTGTCAAAGTGGCACATGCAGCCCCCACCCCAGGACAGTAGGCTTTAGTACACTTCTTCAGGACAACACACATCCACGATGACCAGTTCAGCTGAGATGTGGTCCTCAGGTTGACCATTTGTCCAAAGAACATCGTGGTGAGGTGCTTGTCCAAAGTCCTGGCTGCAAGCTACTTGCTTTTCACTTCCAGCTCCCTTCTGGGTTCCGCTATGCTAGTAGATCTTTGCAGGTCCTTTCTGCCCCCCTCCAGGAGGGACCAACCCCCGGTAGATAGCTGTAGTCTATGACGAGGTGTTTGTCCGCCCCCTCCCGGAGTTGGACTTGATAAGCATTCACCAGGTTTTGCAGCCGGATTTACTCCTCCTGAACCCTGGAATGCACAGCTGGTCAGGTTGTCACATTTTTGAGTTGCCAAGTCAGGTCCCGCTCCTGCAGGGCATTCATGTCCAATACCACGGGAAGATCCTTCGAGGCTGACCAATAGATCACCACTTCCCCCAATTCAATGTGCTGTGTGGTCAGACGCTCGGAATGACATCCAAGTGGCACTCTCCACCAGGATGGGACGATTATTGGTGGCCTTCAAAGTCCGCAAGGTGGGATCCAAAACCATCACTGACAGAAAACAGCTTACGGCGGTCACCTCTGATCCAGTGTCCACCAAGCACTGCAGAGGCCATGGGACAGGAGAATGCCATTTAGGAGTCAATCCTGGGACTTATTGAACTAGTTCCTACTGGTTGTCCCCTCTGCCCTCTCCTCTTAGCCGTAGATCCTTGCAATATGTTCTTACTGGCCACACCACCAGCACCTCTGGTCCACATCCACAAGCATCCAAATCACCAACAACACATCTGATCCAGTGTCCACCAAGCACTGCAGAGACCATGGGACAAGAGAATGTCATTTAGGAGTCAATCCTGGGACTTATTGAACTAGTTCCCACTGGTTGTCCCCTCTGCCCTGGGAACTTGACTCTCCTCTTAGCCATAGTTCCTTGCAATGTGTTCTCACCGGCCACACCACAAACACCTCTGGTCCACATCACCACAGCACTCTGGTCCACATCACCACCACACTTCTGGTCCACATCACCACCACACTCTGGTCCACATCACCACCAGCACTTCTGGTCCACATCACCACCACCAGCACTTCTGGTCCACATCACCACCAACACTTCTGGTCCACATCACCACAAACACTTCTGGTCCACATCACCACAGCACTTCTGGTCCACATCACCACATCACCACCACCTCTGGTCCACATCACCACCAACACTTCTGGTCCACATCAC